TTTCACTTTCTTGCAATTAAACTATATGAACACTGTGTTTGTGCACATGCTCACATATGCACTCACTCCATCTCTTGTCCTCTTATCCTTTCCTTATTTCTAGAAGAAGATTAAACACAGTCGGCAGGTAGAACTTGGTATCACTTGCTAAGAATATGTGGTTCAGATATGAGCCCTGGTCCAATCAAAGCCCGGGGATTGATTAATGAACAGACAGAGAGGGAGAGGATGAGCGTAGAGGGCCGAACATGAAGCAGACAGGAGGGAGACTCTTTCTCTCTTGCGCTTTATGTCTCTTTCTCTCTCTCCCTGTGTCTGTGCCTACTGCCTACTTCAGCAGTTTCACAATCCCCGACTGGCCGGCCAACCAGCCAAGCAGGCCGTGCTGCTCTGTTCCACTCACACATGAACAGCAGCAGTACAACAACAGGAAAAGGGCCTCCTCTGCTTTCACTTGCAGGTCCTGTCTCCAACCTCCCTGGGGGTGGATCTTGTTATTATCATTAATAACTGTAGCTTGAGCTGAGATAAACCTTCTGCATTCCAAAACTCTTGGTTTTGTTTATGAGATGGTGTTGCAAGAAAAGATAAATTGGGGGTTTATTTAAAGGTTTTCTATTTTGGACAATGGTCTGCTCATCACAGGGAGAGGCCTCCAGTCTGTGGTTAAAGACTACCATCTAGTGGTGAATACAGAGCATTGCGATACCCAGTGTTGCACCATGTCATTCATGTATTTGTAGTGTGTTCACTCTCCCTCAAAAAGTCTTGCTACTTTCACATATTTTTAATATATTCTGGTTTCATAAATTACAGGTTGACATGTGGGTTAGTTGATATGAGTCCTCTCAAATCATACCAGACTGAATTATGAAGCATTTTGGACATTTTCTGCGGCTATATTAATTGCATTATATCAATTAAAATGTTATTTTTAACATTCTTAATTTAAAACTCTCTGAAATGATGCAAAGTAAAACATTTCACAACTGAACACTACTTCCTGAAATTGATGGGGGGAATAGTGAGAACTTCATCCTCTCTACTAATCTTTATCATTTTTCTTACCTTCCAGGAGGACGGAGAAGGAATGAGCGAAGGAGGAATCGCAACAACCGCAAGGATAAGGAGAACCAAGAGGGGCGACAGGAGAGGAAGAGAGAGAGGGAGAGGGAGAGAGACACAGGTGAACGTGAAGACTCTGATAACAGGAACAAAACGGAGCACAGGCATCGCAGAGGCCATGAAACAGAACCAGTTTCCCCTGAAGTCGGCCTTGTGCAGTAGTGCTCTGGAAAGACAAAGTCTAGCGCTTCCCCATCCTCCTCCTGTTATCATCCCATTCTTCCTTCTCCAAAACGCCGCTACCCGCACCCACTGTTCACCCCCCCCTCGACCCCTCTTTGCAGGGGTGTTGCTGCTACCTGTATGATTTGAATATAATGTTTATGCACAAGCGGGATGGGGCACATTCAGCCACAAGGCTTGGGCCACTATGGACTTTAAAAAGGTTTTTTTTTTTGGTACCCCGTAGGCTCTACTCCTTCATTTCCACCACTGAGTGTCTCTATTGAAAAGTGCAGGAGACACTTCTGAGACTGCTGTTGGGACCGAAGAACAAAGTGAGAATATGTCTGACTGTGTGGAGGACTGGCAGGCAGACGGACAGACAGACAAAGACGTTATATTATGTGCTTGTTGATATGGTTATTTAATGGGGCCCTGGTACAACATTGCGCGTCTTGGTTTTTGAATGTAGATTTTGCAACATTATGTAGAACAATTGTTTATTATTGTTGTTCCCGTTCTTTAGATCTCTTTACTTTATTTTATTTGGTGCAGAATTTGTAAAGAAAAAGTTAAAGTGAGTTTGCTATTGCCATCTTGTGACATCTTCATAATCACTGCAAATGACAGCTGTAGGAGAGCCTGCATGCTGCGAATCTAAGGAGTACGGTCAAAAACTGAAAACCATTAACACGTTTTGTATGTCTTGGACAAAAGCTAGTTTTATCCAGATATGTGATCAATCTTATCTACTATTGGTTTTTCTTTTTGTGTAAATGGAATCTGTGCTCTCAGTAAAGCTCCTTGACTAGGAACCAAAAGCACCTGTATGTCAAATAAAACTATAATGGGTTTGTACCTGTGTCTGTTATCTGTTTTCTCATCAGACTGCCATCTTGTGCAATTCATCTGAGCAAGTTATAAATGAAATTGCAGGGTGCAGCAATACATTGATGATTCACAGGTCACCATGGGCTAATTTGGGTGTAAACTGTAGTAGTAGTAGTAGTAGTAGGGAGTTACATACTGTAATACCGGAGTACTTTCATCCATTTCTTGCGTCACAACTATTATTCTTTGGGAACTGAGAAACACCTACAGAGCTAACAATGAATAATAGTGATGTTATGTCCCTGGCAGCAATGAAGCCTCATGACTTTTTATATACCTTTTCTAATATACCTACTTTAACTTGTTCCTCAGCACATACTGTAAATCATCAGCCAAGCAGTTTAGAGTAATTAAGCTATGTGCAATCCTTATTCTTTGAACCCCTCCCATTTTTCTGCAAATAAACTCTGACAACTACCATCATGTAGCTCAAATTTCCTAATTAATATACAATACATTTGAATCACCTAATATTACGTTGTATGCATTTGAACCCACCGTATTTATTTCAGTGCCTATAATGTTTGTCAGTGAGCCAGATTTGACAGACAAGGATCACTTTGATCTGGATTAACTTGCTTAGTTTCATGAGAAGTGTCCTTAAGCTTTGGTCAGTTTCAGACGAGCACTGTGAAGCCAAATTATTTTTATATCACAAAACCAAGAAATAATGAATCATTTTTTAAAGCTAAACCATTTATTGGTGGAGTATTTTTGCCCATCAGTAACATCTACTTGCATCAACAGGCACGATGACAGTATTTCCCCCTCATTCATTCAGCAGAGAAATTTCAACTAATACAGGCTGTACATGAAAATATATGAGACTTTGTTTTAATTTGACATTTGCAAAATAGATAACTCACAGTACACTGTATGTACAGAAATCATAAGTGCAAGATAAAGCCATGTTTGAGAAGTTCAGGGAAATGTTACACAGGTAAGAGGACCATGGTTAAAACCAGGATTTTTCAATCAAGAGGACCTTACTGCTTAAACAAAAACAAAAGAGGAAACACTGTGACAGATCTCGAGATTTACCCAGATGCCTTTTAAGTTAAGACGGAACAAATAATCAAATCACAGGTTTCTGTTTTCAACTAACTGAATGCCTCCTGTTCACTTCATGTTAGCCACAAAATCCTCGCCCTTCTTGATAGAGGCCTTCAGCTCATCAATGGCATCAACTACCAATTTCTCCTCAAAGGCAGACAGCTTGCCCACCCCAAGGTTCTTCTCAATGCCGTTCTTCCCCAGCAGCAGAGGTGTGGAGAAGTACTTGCACTCTGTCTCCTCAGACCTGACATAGGCGCACTCCACCACACCCTCCTTTCCATTCATGGCGTCCAGGACGGAGAAGGTGAAGCGGGCACCAGCATAAGCCATGGAGAGGGTAGCAGATCCGGCTCCGGCCTTGGCCTTCACCACCTCTGTGCCAGCCTCCTGGATCCTGCCAGTCAGAGCACTCAGCTGGTCAGCAGGGAACTCTACTTTGGGAGTGCACTGGGAAATGAGGGGGATGATGGTCTTCCCAGCGTGACCTCCAATCACAGGTACGTTGACACGAGCTGGGTCAAGGCCTTTGAGCTCTGCAACGAAGGCGTTTGCTCTGACAATGTCCAGGGTTGTGACACCAAACACTCTGTTGGGGTTGTACACTCCATGCTTCTTCATGACCTCTGCTGTAATGGGGATGGTGGAGTTAACGGGGTTGGCGATGATGCAGATCATAGCCTCGGGGCAGTTGCGTGCACAGGCATCGGCCAAGGTGGCTACAATGGTGGCGTTGGTGTTGAAGAGGTCATCACGAGTCATGCCTGGTTTTCTGGGGACACCGGCGGGGATGACCACGACCTCGCAGCCCTGCAGAGCAGCATCGAGCTGGTCGGGACCCATGTGGCCGGTCACTTGGGCCCTTGTCTCGATGTGGCTGAGGTCTGCAGCCACCCCAGGTGTGTGGGCAATATCAAACAGGGAGAGGTGACTCACCAGGGGGCTATTCTTCAGTAGCAGAGACAGCGGCTGGCCTATGCCGCCTGAAGCTCCTAGCACCGCAACCTTGGCGTTGTTGTGCGTAGAAGTGGACAGGCTCCGAGCGAGGCTCACGGTAGGTCTCACGGCGCGGGAAAACATTTTGTTTCTTTGACTTGTTTTATGAATTTAGTGAAAGTAGAAATGCGTACCGAGCCCCTCTCCTCTGTGACACCAACGTCCTCTAGCCACGAGCGAACAGGAAGACTGTACACTGTCATGCGTAGAGGATATGGGTCGTGCGATTTACGTCACATTGCGTCAGCGCGTACGGCTACGTCGTCGTCTTTATTTTCAGCCTCTTTTCTACGGAGGAAAACAAAGCCAGTTAACATTGGAAGTGGGAATATTAGCGTTGGAAATCAGTGCTGCTACGCGAATTATAACGGTACACCGGAGCAACGCAGCAAAATCCAACAGTACGGTACGTACGCAGTCGTTGAATTGTCTCTGTCGGGAGAAAATGCTTCACCTCGCTGTTTGTGTCGCCCTGCTAAAATGAGCTAGCGCCGTCAGATGAACTCCGTCTAGTTGCTGGAGTCAGAGGGCTGCCATCAGACCAGCCAGCGTTAGCTACAACAGGTCTTATTGTTATGGTCGCTTTGCCAGTCGCGGAATCTCTTTGTACTGTTTGACTTGTGTTTGCACTTGTAACGCCAACAACAAACGACTTGCTTTTCAGTAGCTGCTGTGTTTCTGATGTTAGCTCAACTAGTTTGCTGATAAGCTGTCACCAGTTAGTGTGAATGTTAAGATCGTTAGCTCGGTAACGTTAGCTGTGTTCATCCTGCCATAAGGCCAGCTGGGTAACACAAACTTTACCAGTGAGCTGACACAGTTCACTGCTTGTAGTGGGACAGTTAACAGAGCAGCCCTTTGTTTCACACACTTGAGTAAACCCTTGAATTACATTTCAGTCATAGCTAAGTGAATTAACGCTAACTTGAAGCTAAGCCGTTTGAACGTCAGGCTTAAAATCCAACTTGTTTTTCACATGAAAGGTTTGTCTTGTTTTTTTAATACGTAACATTGTGTATCACAATTGTACTCACTTTCAGGACAGTCTGAACACATTCACTGACTGCTCTCTTCTCTTTGGCAGTGGCAAGATTGAAGGTCCATCAGCTCTCCTAATGGTCCATCAGCATTAAGGATACTTCCAGTAAGTATCAGATATCCTCTCTGTCAGCCTTTTTGAGCTTACAGGTGGCATATACATTATACTATCATTCGATATTGGTCATTTTTAGTCTGACTCTATCTTGTGACTGTTTAGTGACAGTGACTTGCATTTGAGTGCTAAATGTGACCATGACACCACCAGTAAGATAAAAAAAACTTTCCTTCTCGGTGTCCCACAGTTGTCCTGATTTCTACTTTCAGCTGTCCCTGACTTAACAACTGTTGTCTGAAGTATATTTTGTTTTGTTCATTTCATGACTTTAAAAATAATTTTAATAAATTTAATAACTTTGTTTCAGTAACTCGCATAACTTCATTGAGTCTTTGAACATTGTTATTATTTAAAGAAATAATCTCATACTCACTACGGAGACATTGTATATTTGAAGTAAAAAAAATCTACAAAGGCAAACTAACTATTGAAATAGTTACAAGCTCAAACTATTGCACAATAGCTATAGAAACTTACTTCAGAGATCAAGGCAGAGAGAGGTCACATATGGCCCATGCTCCACACCTACGAATGAATTAAAATATGATATACATCTTTTTATTATATACTTGTATTTTCTGATTTCAAACAACAAACATAATATTTTCATTTGTAATGATACATTTCTCTAATGTCGCAGATTGTCCCAGACAATGTCTCTTTGTGTCCCAGGTGCTATTTTTATTGTCCCTGGGACAATGGGACATCCTTAATTTTAAGTGCTGTATATATCTCACTTGTGTTTTCTATCATATGTGGACCTAAAAACAACATTCAGAATTATTATAATCTTGAATACTGATTTCTGTTTTTGAAAATGAATTGTACTGATGAAAGAAAAGGTAATAATCCTACCATGCTCACTACAACCTTTATTTACAACTGTCCCTTTTCCTCAGTACTTCCTAAGGATGGCTAGTTGTGGGGAGGTAGACCACTCTGTTAGCTCGCTTCCATCCAGTAAGAAAGGCAGCAACAGTGGTGGTGGAAGTGGGAACAGTGCAGAATCATCATGCTCTGGCTCCAGCAACTCATCCCCAGCCCTGTCTGTACCAGAGTGCGCCATCTGTCTGCAAAGCTGCGTCCACCCAGTGCAACTGCCGTGCCATCACGTCTTCTGTTTCCTGTGTGTGAAGGGAGCATCCTGGCAGAGCAAACGCTGTGCTCTCTGCAGACAGGAAGTACCAGATGACTTCCTGGAAAGGCCTACGCTTCTCTCTCCCGAGGAGCTTAAAGCGTCGGCGGGAGGTCGGGGTGGGGCAGCGAGTGATCACGCCTGGTATTATGAGGGCCGTAATGGTTGGTGGCAGTACGATGAGCGAACCAGCCGTGAGCTGGAGGACGCTTTCTCCAAGGGCAAAAATAGAGCCGAAATGCTGATTGCTGGTTTTTTGTATGTAGCTGACTTGGAGAACATGGTGCAGTACAGGCGCAACGAGCACGGTCGTAGACGCAAGATGAAGAGGGACGTTTTGGATATCCCCAAGAAGGGAGTGGCTGGACTGCGTTTGGACGCTGAGGGTGTTACTGGGGCCATTGGGGCAGGTAGAGAAAACTCTGCTGATGGGGCTGATACCACGGTAGCAGGTGTCCAGCAGCCGGTTACAGGTGTCCCCTCTACTGTCACAGCCCCTCCAGCCACTGCCAGACCTCCTACCTCCCTTGGTGGTCAGCCTGGTGGCAGCAGCAGCAGCCCCACTCTGGAGGATGCTCTCTCCCAGCTGCAGATCAGCCCCAGGCCCACACCTTCCCACGAGCGCTCTGAGGCTGGGGAAGGAGAAGAAGAAGACGAGGAAGAGGAGGCCTCACCCTCCAGGTCCTCTGACCCTAACACCTCTGTGGACGAGTCTGGCTCTGGAGACTGGAGCGATGAGGAAGGGGGAGATGGAGAGCGTGTGGAACCCTGTGAGGGTAGGCAAAGACGGAATCCAGAGGACAGAGCCCCCCCTGGCGCAGAGTCCGCCTCTCCCTCTTCTTCATCCAGTAGCAGCGGAAGGTCCAGAATGCCTGATGGCCAGTGTACAGTGACTGAAGTGTGAACTCGTCATTGATAGCATCATCACCGAATGGCTATGTTCCATTTCATTAATTTATTCCTCACTGTATGCTGTCATTCACTGTGTCATGGATCAGATTTGGGTGGAGTGCTTGATACAAGAGAGCATAACATACTCCATGTTTTTAGGTAAACAACTCAATTTTAGCAGTCAAATTTGGTGCCTCTTTTTGGCTCACATGGATTTGGATGTATCTGTTTGATTTGTTTGTCTGTCTCAGCCAGTAGAAGCATTTTATGTTCTGGCACTAAGCGTTCTAGTACTGAGACAGGAGCTACAGCTTGGTAAACAGCCAGACGGATACATCATGTTGTTGTGAGCCATGAAATCTCATAATTGTCTATCCAGACATGCTGAGAGGTAGGTGTAACAGTCTTATTGAGGTGTGCAGCTGCCATCGGGCTGCTCACTTTTTGCCATTCGGTCGGAGGCATATCGAGTCTGTTCTTTTTAAATTCTGGGAATGTGGAAGTTGAAAGGTAAAAGTGACAAACCAACCGGCTTCTCCCTATCTTAGGTATTCTTTTTGTTGACATGTATGATCCTAAAACTCAGAGGCTTTCTGCGAATCTCAGCCAGATCTGTGACATTTGAGACAGAAAGCATAAATGAGGATGATAACTCCTGGAAATGGAACTGTGTCTTTATCATTATCATGGACGGCTGCATTCTAGTCATCTACACTTTAACTCTCTCAGCTAACATAGCACGCTGAAATGGGCTTGATAGAGCTCAAGTCATCTGACTACTCTTGCAAAGATTTGAATCCTTGATAACTTGTTCCCAGCCTCCACCCTACTTAAATGATTTTCTTACGTCACTGATTATGAAGCCTTTCCTTCAAAATGCTGAAATGTAACTGTTAACTTTTGGAAGTGTGTCATTTCAGAGCAGATTGTAGTTAGATGAAAATCTTCACTTTTGTTTATCCAGATAAAGAAAGGAAACAGATTTGTACTTACTGATGCTCCTAAGCCATGTGAGTATTTAAATACTCTCCAACCTAGTAATGTAGCTCAGGAGCCCACAGGATTATCTGGCTGCCTGCTTAAGGGTTTGTCTTTTGATTTCAATTAACCTGCTGCTTTCTGAAATTCTAAAAATCTATTGATATAAATGAATGTGCGTAATAGAATTACATATCAAATTTATTTGAACCTTTCCCAGCTTTAAATAATTGGCAATTTAACGTTTAAAGTATCAGTGTTTTCCTTTTAAAGCTGTTGAGGCCATTAGTATTCTCATTGTCCCTGACTAAAGTATTCTCAATTGGTGTGTTTCAAAAGTTTTGTGATTTGTGCATGTTTGAAGAGAGAGTTATTTAAACACTACTGGTTGGCAGGATGATGAGAATTTATATTTTTGGGTTAAGTTTGAGTAATTGTTTTAAATTTTTGTTTTTGTGTTTTCTTATGGTTGTAAATCATCTTATGTATGATGTCTGAGGCAGTAAGAGAACAAGAACATGCCATTGCTATTGGCCATCCTGCAGAGATTTGAAGTTATGTTATTTTTATATTTCTTACATGCTTACATCATCTGCTCAGTCTTAGACTTTCCATTCTGAAGATAAAGTTTGTGTAACAGTTTTTGCCTGGCAATTTTTTGTTACATGGTTTGTAATTTAAGAATAAATTGTGTCATTTCATCATCCTAAAAGGTCATTGTTGTACTCGTCTTTTATTTTTGGCTTCTCATTTTACTGTGTTATAGGGTGAATGTTATGTGGGGTTACATAAATAGGACTATCAGTGGTCTCATTGTAAGTTTTTCTCTATACTGCTACCTGTAGAGAGGAGGACAGATTACATTCCACTGGAGGAAGGACTGAAGTATTCAGTATCTGTTCTTCATATAACAAAGCCACCAAAATAAGACTATAAGACATCAACATAGTTTATTATATAACAAGAAAGGTAGCATTTACTAATCCATAATGTTCAGTGTGCAACACAGCCTCTTTTTCTGTCATTGGAGACCATATAAACAATATGTACATCATACTGAGGCCAACTTGTCTCCCCCTCACTCACCTTGTAGGTGTTTGGTATTCTGGTCACAGCAGCCATCAGCGCTCCAGCTGGGTGTCTGGCCAGGAAACATGACCTCTGGACGGGGAACCGGAGACAAACCGGCATCCTTCAGGGACCTGTCCTGTTCTTGTCATTTCAGTCTGTGCCTGTTTGTGCTCTTTCCATACCCAATGCTGTATGGACTAATTGCACAAATTGGTGTCAAACCTTACAAAAGAATTCAGTATGTATATTTCAGCTGTTTAATTTGTCCCCGTGTTTCAGCAACTTTCCAGATTCCCCATGCATCAGTGAGTCATTGTGCAGAGAGCAGAAAACCAGCAAATAATGCTCTTACCTACAGCTACCCATAGAATAGAACGCGAGAGAGAGGGGGTGATCAAGGCCACGATGATGCAGTGAGCTCTGAACGATCAGCTGAGCTAACCTACAAAACTGAAGTAAAGAGGAAAGCACAGCAGCGTTACTCTCAATCCTACAGACATATTGTGCTGCCTCATGCTTGTTATACCTCATCAGTATCTGTATGCTGCAGCTCTATCTGCTTCTGTTAGCCATGATCTGATCATTACCATAATCACATTTCAGCAGACCTGGAGGAAAGACTAACCAAGGTGGACAGAAGGGATTTAGAAGATGGAGAATGTAGTCCTTTAGAGCTTTGTTTTCATCCATATGGAAAATATAAGACTAATACCCAGCGTACAGCATATGCTCTGTTTAATTACAGATGTGCTTTAATTAAGAGGATAAATCTTAAAATAAGTATTCATATACAGTATTAGTCTACAGAGTATTAATCACACACACAAGATAATTTCTCAGGTCAGCTGACACTGCAGCACAGCTAATATGAGCAATCTCTCATTATCAGTGTATTAGAGGCAATGAAGTGGCTGATTTATTGAAATGATGAATTCTATCAAAGAAGAAATACTACCATTTGTTTCCACATTACCTCCGTCCACATTTAAGACACAACATTCAGCTTATTACATACAAAAAAGTCATTATAAATGTCTTCAGCACGCCAAAGATCTGTGTAAGTTTATTGATGTCAGTCTGTCTGTAGCAGTTCTCTTCCACACAATTTTGGCCCGGACAGTGCTTTTTCCAAAAATGTCTGAGAAGCTCATGTGAACACAAACACTCATTTGTGTTTGGACTTGCTGGCCAGAGCCTGCAGGTTTGCCGGACCGCCCCACACCGTCCCAAATACATCCTTCTCAGTCCTCAGAGCCTCTGACAGAGGGAGCTCTCTCCCTGACAACACTACCTTCTTCACAGCCTGGATCACTGGGGTAGGTCCCTTTGTATAGCGACTGAGCCAGTTTTCAGCCTGCTGTAGCAGAGTCCCTGCACCCTCCTCTGCCGCGGGAACCTCCAGGACTCCATCTGCCAGTCCAATCTGCAGGCCAAGTTCAGGGTCCACTTTTAGAGCACCACCAAGCAACTTCAGGGCATTCTGGCTTCCAACAATGCGGACGAGCCGTGCTGCGCCGCCCCAGCCCGGGACCAGGCCCATGTGTTTATGGACAAACTGTATCACACTGCCAGATGCCATTATCCTATGACAAAGAGATGACAGACACGAGTTAGATTATTAGCAAACATTAGGATGAAAGGTGACAGTGTAAAGGAGATCCTATGGTGTTTTCTTTTATTCACTTGTATAAAACCAATACCTGAAATCGCAGGCAGTGGTGAGTTCTGCACCTCCTCCCAGCGCTCTCCCCTCCACCAGAGCAACAGAGATCAGAGGCAACCTGCACTGAGAAAACTATTCTGTCAGCATACTGTAGAGCACATTACATAACAGCTTAACTCCAACGTCCTCAAGCTCAGCCTGGTTGCTGCTGTTTTACTCTGCTTTAATATTTAATACAGTAGTAGAGAGAAAAATGAAAGCCCTTACCTGAGTAGTCTTGTGAGAGCATTCTGCATGAACATACACATCTTCATCCCATCCTACAAAGGCAAAAGAAACATCACTGGGCAAGTACGCATCCAAGAGACAGTGAGACAAAGACAAGCAGACAGACTGACTGAAGCAGATATGCAGTTAGCCACAGCAACTAGATGCCATAAATAATTTCACTGCTTTGCTACCTGTGGGTTAGATATCGCCCGGACAGCGTTGAGGTCCGATCCAGAGCAGAAAGTTCCAGCAGCACCCTGCACAATCAGGCCTTTACAGTCTGTCCAGCTCTCCAGCTGGCTCACCGTCTCCTCCAGGTCCACCATCATACTGCCTGGGAGGAGGGGAAAACTCAAAACACTTAAGACAGCTGCAGTGTAATTTGTTTGTGTACAAGTGATCATGTGCAAATGAGTTTCACTCAGAGAATAGCCTGAAGTCTGAGTCTGAAAATATACAGTGTTATGTGTACAATCACCTTACCGGAGAAGGCATTCATGCGGGAGGGGTTGTTAATGGTCAGCACAGCGACACCAGACTCCTGTTTGAGCAGATCAATGGAGCCTCCAGGAAAGGCCTGCAGCTTCTCTCTGATCTCCTCCTGGTTGAAGCCATGGATGCTGGAGTACACACAGCCCCTGCTCTGTCTCTGCAGCAGCCTTGGAGGAACAACATTCATATGGCTTATTACAATCATTATATAGACCCAGGCCTTACAGAGGGTGGGAAAGACCCTAAAATGGAACCCTGATTCATTTAACTACTAAGCACATTACCAGTATGTTGTTATATGTTTAAAAGATGGTAAATTAATTCAATTTAAAGCAATCTGCATGTGTAACTGTAGTATAAAGAAACAGTGCAATGCAGAACTGCGTAATGTACATCAGTCTGGTGTTGCAGACAGGAAACAATTTCTTTTAATACACTCCCTTACCTCTCTGTAAATCAGCCTGAAGGAGGTCTGAGCTACTCAAACAAACTGCACTTGTACACATAAGAATGAACTATATCTGACTCTGACTCATTGTAGTCAGGAGTCAGAATCAGAGAAGTTATTACTTTTATATATTAGCATTTCACAACTCTCAGCACGTCTGAAATACATTTTGATTGTTAGACCTGTCTATGTTTGTGATTTATGAACAAATAATGTGGGTCCAGCTCCGTACACTTGGTGTTCCTTTATTTATGACTTTATTTACTGTCACCAGCATGGCAATAAACAATGCAGTCTAGACTCCCCTACCTGGCCCAGGCCCCACAGCTGCTGCTGCCCAGGAACTGTCGACTCACCCCACACAGTACCATCCTGCAGCAGCACAGAGGTGGAGAAATCAGCTTTACCTTCATTCTGAGGAATTACTTAAAACACATATATATATATATATATATATATATACATATAATGGCTATTGCTGTAGCATGTTGTATACAATTGAAATCATCAGCAGCAGACCCTTACTGTTACTTATAACATGAATGATGGTTTTGTTCTAGTCAGGCGTGCCATGAAACCACGATCATTCATTTAATTTATAACACCTGTGTTTTTCCCACTGTGACATGTCAAACTGTTTGCAGTGAAAGGGGTCTATGGAATACAGTACCTTCCAAACCAGCGTTGCTACTGTGTATTTGTTGGCGCACCAAAGGTTCAGTATAAAGATACTTTTTCATAAATAAGTTATTTCTTTTGAGGACGTGGTGCTGGCGTAGCTTTGTATGCTAAAAAACAGTCACACACACACACACACACACACACACACACAAACAAACAAACAAACAGCATAGCTCCACCCAACTCCAACCTAATCTAATTAGAGTCATTAAGAACACCTGTGCTGGTGTTTCAGGCTTTCAGTCACAATGCACAAACACACTGTGCTTCTTCACAGCGACTGAAGGAGAAATTTAAAAAAGGCCTTTGGAAGGAAAATGTAAACTGATACAGAGAAAAGCACTTGAAAATATGAACTTATGAATACCAAAGAAGAACACTTATAAAGCCTGGTTACAGTAACTATTTGTGTTAGCAGGAAACACAAAAAGCAGCTGCCTTTAAACTCTGGCATGTAGAAAGTTACTTTGTGCTATAAACTAATTTCAATGTTAATCATATGTTTGTGTTTTGTAGCCTTAATAAAGTCATTAAACAGGATGTTATTCAATAGGTCTGTGAGCTTTAGCTAGCTTAACTTGCTGTGCTGCTGTACTGTATTTTAATGGAAACATCGAGCCAGTGGTATCATGATAGTCCTCTGGTTGAAAGCACTGCAATACTGAAGCAAAGCGACCACCACACATTCATTAATATGCAGTGTTGGATACTGAATGGCTTTGCGAACACTTGTTTTGCAGTAAACCACTGATTGTGTGATTTGGCCACTGAATGTCATACCAGGTTCAAGTGTCTAACTTTAATAAATACAGCGAGCAGCAGACTAAACTAAAGTTTCGTTCAACAGTTTACATAACATTATAATAATTACAAATCACTGAGTAACCGAAAAGCAAGCACCAACCTTGCTTATTGACAGCCGTGTGGTGTTACACTAAAACCCGTCCCCCTGGAAACTAAAGGTCCTGGGAAGGACAGGATACCGGCACACAGATGTAGTTGCGCGATGCATCCACAGGGGGGCGGAATAATACCGCCACGGAGCAAATATGATTTGGGATTCATTTGTACACAATCTCCTTGTGCAAAAAGTCAGGTATTTCCATTAATTGTGCAGTAGTGATATTGGGCCACATACATTTTACACAACACTCTACGAGCTATAATTTATTGTTCGACTTAACTGTAATAACATTCATCATTGGCCAGTGCACTGCACGTAGAGATCTGCTCTTTGTCTGTCACAACTCTGTAAACACAGCATACTGAGGAACTGGCTCCACAGACATGTCCTTATTCAGTAGTACTGACAGAGGGATTTCAATATCATCTACAAGTTATAGTACAGTGCTGGCACAGGCAGCTGGCAGGTACATTTGACTACTGTTCAATTAAGTTTTCATTATGTGTCCACGTGGAGGTAAAAAACGAAATAGGTTCTGTTTGATTCAAGTCTGAAACATATTTCCTTGACACCAGTGAACTTGAAGGCAGTGCTGTGGATCCACGTCTAACACTGAGTCAACATCTTGTCAAACAAAAGCGTGCTCAGAGATTTGGTTTTATGTGTTGCCAAGTCAAACAACCAAAAACTGTATACATCTTCAAATGCCAGTGATGAACACACTAGGTATTTTTTAGAGATATTAAAGTAGGGGTTTGGAATAATATAACAACTGAAGAAAAATGTACTTTTACTTTTGATTTAAGAGCAATAGTTCTGGATTTGCTCTTTTGCCATTAAAAAAGTCCTTAGAAGATGCAACCATTGTTTGAGAAAATATCTTGTTCAACTCCTCCTAGAAACATGTAATATCATACCAAGAGTGACTATCACCTTCCTGAGGGGCAGAAAATGTGTGAATTGCTCTGGGATCATACTGTGCAAACACAGACAGACATACAGACTTGTAGGCATGGTATTGAAATAATTTATTCATTAAGTTATTTAGGAAAGTATAACCAAAGCATCAGTGTTAATTCTGAGGTCTGGAAACATTCAGATCATGTGTGTAAAGAAGACAAGTGGAGGGTCAGATAGGAGTTATGAGTGAAAGATAGAAATGAGGACATACAGACAGCGAGACAAACAGCATAAACAAACAAAAACAAGAGGATGATATAAAGACCAAGATGTGTGCACGAAGAGGAGGGAAAATGTGCCAAAACAGAGGGAGGTTGAGACACTTCCTGTGCTGTGGTCTGATCTATGGCTACTGGGAGCATAAATCCTTCACTTCTATCCACACATCCTCTCCTGCTATTCACAGCCTAGAACGCATGTATGAAAACAAGCTCAGGAACCAAAAATACCTTTCTGTTTCATCTGAATCACTGAGGATACCAGAAACATGCTGAATCCAAAGTCCAAAACAAAGTTAAGTGTTGCAAAACTGTATTCACGTGCCAATGGCTATCACTCATCTGTACAAAACCCTGGAAGCACATTATTTTATGATTACATTAAAAGTAATATCTCATGCTGTATATTTTTCACACACCCTTTAAAGTGCAGTTATTTACATGGAGTGACGCTTTAAGACACATTTTTCCCTAAATGAATGGCTTTGTGGAACCAAAGTCCTTCAGGACCGCAAACATAAAAGGTCATCAACAAGGATACAGTGCACTGCATCCAAGACTGCAATAGATTCAACTAAGTTTAAAAGTCTGCACCTCTCCAGTCTATTTAAAAGTGGGGAAGGAATTCAAAAAGGTTGGTGGGACTCTTCCCAGGCATGCATTCCAGACACGCTGACTCTCCTTCCTGCTCTGTACAGTACATTCAGCTAGGTCAACTAGCCTGCAACCTGTCTCTAAATATCACTCTGTGAAGTGCAGCACCTGGAGGATTTACATACACAGTAGTCTCTAATCACCCAAGATTCATTGTCTATCTGTGTTAGGTGTGTGATTTACTAGCAGTGTTTCTACTCTTTTATAAACTTTAATTCCAAACCATTATCTCACTGTGCCTGTCCACTTCCATTCATCCTTTGCTCAGCCCTTTCAGTCATTTTGATTAAAGTCAGCCCTGCTGTTTTATGATCCATCCGGATATCAGTGATGCAGCCGCAGACTGCTGATAATGGAACCCTGTCTGAAATTACAACCTGGCTAATGGGAGAGAGCGAGACAGTGAGAGAGACAGAGAGAGATACACACTTCACACATTTGTCTATTGCATGCACAAATGTCATTGCATGTATGTCTTAGAGTGTGTTTCAGTGTGTGTGGTTGTGTGTGTGCTGCATGTGGCCTCTAAAGTGATGCATCAGTGTACTGATCAATATGCAGCTGTCTGGGGTTCTACAGGAAGTCAGGGAATGTGCTGCAGTCAGCATAGCTTTATACCAACTCTCCAAGATAAGAAAACACACACACACACACACACACACACACAGATCAGATCAGATAAGTGCCAGTAAAGGTCTATTTCAGTGCAGGAAGAATGGCAGGTTGGCAGGTGCCAGAGGCTCTCAGGGGCCAAGAGGTTTCCTGTGAGGGGAGGTCAGTGTAGCTGAAGGGCCGAGGGCCAGGAGACATCAGAGAGCCAATGAACATTTTTCCACAGCAGCAGCAACTGGGATGAGTCTGCGGGAACTCAAAATGTACACACATGGGGACCCGGTTAGCTCAGTCGGTAGAGCTGGAGACCCATATCCGGAGTCGCTGCAGTGGCCTGGGTTCGAATCCGATCTGTGGCCCTTTGTGTGTCATCCCCTCTTTCTACCCCCCTTTCCTGACGATTTTCAGCTGTCTCTATCGAATAAAGGCATGAAAAGGCCAAAAAAAATTTACACACATTACAAAGATAAAATGCAACCATTTACTGTCATATGTACTGTATATTTGTGACCACACCTAAACTGTTATAACATGACCATACCAAAATTTACTCTAGTTTATTAACACCTCACAAAGCTCAAAAACATTTTTGTTCTATCTATCCTAATCTTCATTGGCATAAAAGGAAAATATTCTGCAAAGATATACCTAATGTCCAAATGTGACTAGCTACTCGTGCAGTGGACATGAGGCTAATCATGGCAAAGAGCTTCTTTCCAATCAGACTTGTATATCCTGTTAGGTTCATGTTTGTAGCAATAACACAGAAAGCCGCTAGCAAAAATGTAGACTTGAAACAATCAAAAGCAGCTAACTATAAGTATCGTGAGTAAGTTATTTTATTCAAGGCTGTGAGAAGATGGAGACTACAGAAAGGACCTGCTTTGGTCTAGACACATCAAATCAAGTCAGATCAAATAGTTTGCATGGCCAGTGGGTGTTGTGTGTGTCTGTGTGGATATGGACTTTTATTGGAGCATCAATGGAAATGAGCTGCATACAGACTGATTTGATCGTTGTCTCTGGCTGAAGTTGAAGTAGTGTAAAATCACTCCCTGTAGCATTTAGCAAGACCTGTGCATGCATATAGCTCTCACTGGCTCATGGTTTAAATGACAGCATAAAACATCCACAGGTCAGTTTCACAGGAAACAATTTTTATACATTTACTGTAATACGTATGTGAACACAGGTGCTGTTAAATTGTTCAGGAAACCACTGGCATATGGTTTGAAGAAGCTGTTGTGTCTACACTTCATGACAATCATCTGTTAAGTAACTGGAGTCACTCTGTGTGCATGATAAAATGTTCCATAAATTCTTTGCAGTGTTATTGTGTTTTAAGCAGCGCTGGAATCAAAACAGTTAGTACTGGTTATATAATGGTTTCAACATCTGGAAACCTCCAGACTTGAGCACAGGCCAGTACTGGTAATCTACGCTCAACCTTGAAACAGGAAAACAGGGTGAGACAGCCAACACAGCGCTAGGCTGGCTATCAGGAAAGGATGACAATATTTATATTTATATCAGCGCCAGGGTAGGATTTCTGGCACCGTAACATTGTTGCACCTGTTATTTCCGTCAGCCTAAGGTGCCAGGTTTCAGGGTGAAGGTTCAGGTGTCCTGTCCCTTTCAGGGCAAAGGGTGTGTATGGCTGTGTGTGTGTGTTTGTATGTTTATGTAAGTGCATGTGTCAGTGCAAAGGTGCAAAACTAATCATTTACCATATGGTGCAGTTGGAATAATACAGGTATTTTCATGTTGTAGACAGGCATACAGAAAGGTGAGGAGTGAGATTGTCAGTCTGGCTCACTACAGCACTTGACAAACAAAATCACACACATTTAGAAAAAGGACTACATAAAACATTAATGGAGGAATGCATACACACACAGAACACACCCACACCATCAAAGTAAAGGGCGGTTTCTCTGCTGCTGTCATGTAGCTCTGCAGTCATTACTCAGAGGAAGAGATCAGAGAGTCGCTCGAGATGTCAGTCAACAAGACTGAGGAGCCAGACAGTCGTTTGGTTCTGGTGCTTAATCTTTGTGAGTTAACAGTCGCCTAGGACTCCTCTTGATGCTTGCTGTCATACAAATATTTCTGTGCATTCTGTTTGATTGATGTTCATGTTATTAAATTATTGCTACTGCAAGCTAAGGATTGAAGTCTGCAGTGGGTCTGCACTGGGTCTGCACAGTGGCAAGGTCAGTTTAGCTGGTAATTTGTGAACTAAATTATTGGAGATAAAAAATAAAAATAAAAATATAATATACTGGTTAAAGTCTTATTTAACCTAAATAGGGTTTGTTTACAGGGGTGCTCAACTTCTGAAATATTACTTTAAATAATAATACTCCCTGTATAATGTATTATGTTGTACTGGTCCTTTCAGTCACGCTTCACAAATGGGTTTAAGCTTCCAAGAAACAATTTTTAGAACAGTAATTATTTGACAAACGGGTCAGTCAAAGCTGCCCAGCATGACAAAACACATACAGTATAATGCAAATGTAGATATTTTGGTATGTGATATGAAAAGAGAAGAGCAATCATTTAGTCCTTATGTTTATTACACAAAAAGAACAGCAAAGG